AGTTTGCAAATGATTTCGAAAAATTTATAAGCGTTTTCGAAAGAGTTTAAATTTGCGAAAAATTGGCCCTAGTTAGCGGGGTGTTGCAAACCAACCTTCGACTAAAGCAAGCCTAGGGTATATATTTTGAAGAACAGTTTAGGGGAACTGACCTAACCCCTGATATACACTATTTAAAGAGAAACTGGAATTCATTATAGATCACACATATTGTACACATCACAGTAATTGGATTTCATCATTAAATGCAGTGAATTACATGGTATATATCACTCAATTATGGTTGTCTATAAAACTCGGACACATGGACACATTCAAATGGACAGGAGCATAACTAATGTTTTATTATTTTTCAAGTATACACCAACAGGCCAACTGTTCTGAAACTGATTAACAGGCTTATTCTTACTCTAACCATCATGTATATAACTTTGGAGTTTGTAGTGTATACGGTTATAACTCCATAGGATCAATAAATAATGAAAAGTGCAATGTATACATTAATGCAACCATCTACAACCAAATTATCTCTCAACTTTTCACTTCTGCTTGCCCTGGTTAACTTCATAACCATATAAGTCAACCTATTTTTCAAACACATCTAGAATCAAGTCCTCATACAAGTGACAAGCTCAAATCTCCATGAATTTCAATTTTTCCTTTGCATGTGAAGCATTGTTTCCTAGCATTGCCGCATGCACAAACAAAGTACCCATTTGTTTGAAATCCCTATGGACACAATACAAACAACAGAATTCTTCTGATGATAACAATGCAGATTTACCTTGACAACGAAACATGTCGTCGCTACTTGGGATAGTTTGTCAGTAAAATACCGAATCATACGAAGTAAGAAATACAAAAAATAAACGCACCATAGGAATGTGATAGACTATATATCACATTGGCCGTACTACTTAGATTCCAAAACAGAAACAATAGAAGATAGGTAACAAGAAATCCTCACCCAAGAAGTGTGTATTTTGAAACCCCATGATAGTTTGCACGGTCTGATCTCGTATGTATTTCAGAAGATCCGCCATGCACACACCCGAAGCAAAACTCAGGTAAAGTCTCAAGAAAAACACTTCACACAGAACAATCCCGACCAAATCACGCATCCCACACCGACCGTTCACCTCATTCCAAATTCCATCTGTCATCAGAGGGAAAAAGACCCTCAGATTCTCCACAAAGCTAAAGCTACCCCCACCTCTATCAATCGTCCAAACCCTAACCAAATCCTCAAAGCAATCCACCACACTATCGCACTTGAAATCCCGGTGCCCATAATCATACACCTGGGTCGGCATCATAACATATCCGACAATGTCCTCCACCAATTTATCCACCTCCATTCCTGCTGCAGATATCTTGTGCTTCCTGCAACCACACACAATACCGTACAACTCGCACATCACAGGAGCGAGAAGGGAAATCCTTTTAGGCGCGCTGCTCAGATTAGAGCAAAAAATCAGCAAATTCAGCAGATCCTTGGCCACCAGAATTCTAGCAGAAGGGCTGCTGCTGTGCGAACTCGATCTCGCGGCATGAAAAGTGATGGCGGAGTAGAACCAGGTCAACTCTAAAGGCGGGTCGAGCATGGTCTGAATCTTACGAGAGAAAATAGACTCAAAAGAGGAGTAGTCGGGCCTGCCATTGTGGTATGAAGCTAGAAAGTGCTTGATGGACTCTCTTAACATGGAGTCGTGTTCCTGGGTTTGAGAATTCATGGTGGAAGGAGTGAAATGTGAAATGGACAAGAAATTACAGCTTCGGGTGAAATTGGCGTTTTATATGCTTTTACGGCGAGGTTTTAAACCCCTAGGACGGAGAAGGGGAGGGGGACGGGACATGGGCACAGGCGGGCAGTTTTTTAGGGCAATAGCAACGGATCAATTTTTGAACTTTAGAATTTAAGTCCATCACCATTCAAGTTCAAACACATGCCTCGACAAGATTTTTTCATCTTTTTAAAACAAAAAACGAAAAAGAATTTTATGTTATGAAATAATAAAATAATGTATGTGAATGATTATTTTGCCCTCGATGTATTTGTATTATTACGAGTCGTGCCATCAGAAGTTTCCTATAAATAGGACCTTCAGTTATAATGAAAATCGTACCTAAGAGAATACATTTTCTCTATTCTCTCTCTTTCTCTCTAGTTTTATAAAACGTTATCAGCACGAGTCTCTGTCTTTTAGAGCTCGGTTTGTAATATGACGAAAGTATGCTCGTCTTATAGACGATCGCCTGTATCACAAATCAAAATATTACAAATCGTCTTCTTCCTCAAACAATACTCCATGCTAGAAAAATAATGTGTTTCCCAATTACAGAAGTTAAGCACAAAAAGATGAGCCTTTATAGAAAAATAATGAAAAGTGTTTTCATCATCCACTTTTATAATTGTGTTCATACTTTCCCTCTGATGAATAGCCAATATTTTTCGAAATCAGGAGATGAAAAAACCATTTGAACCTTCATCTATTTTGATATAGTAAATAATATTAATAATAACAATGACAACAATAATATGAGGAAAATACAATATGAAAAAAAGAAAAAAAAAAAAACAAGAAAAGTTATGTAAACTTACACTAGAAAAACAAAATTCACTAGATGGCATTTGTACAATGACGATGTTGGAAAACCATAACATCAGCAATGGAAGCGAGCAGGCGATGGTCGAGTTGAAAAGAAGGGCTCTGAACACTATTCGTCGGTCACATTCTCTTCAAGTAAGTAGTAATTCATTAACATAGATTTTGACTTATTGCAGACAAGAAAATGTGCAGAACTTTTCTTTACGATATACATCAATGGCCTCAAAGTGTTAGCTTGAAGGTAAAGATGATGATTTAATTATTGAGAGCAATTAATGCCCATATATTCATGAATAGTATTGGCTATAAATGTTCACACAAACACATGAACTATTGATAGAGACATTTTAAAACAAATACACGCACTATTGACAAGGTGTCGGCAATAATATTCATGTCATCATGTGTGTTCATGACATATGCATTATGGACAATTTAATACATCAACAAACTATTTCAATAATCCATTAAACTTTGAAATTCACTTTTCTCGAGAAATGCATACAATATAAAAAATAGTGTTTTATGATCTCATAATATTTCTTTTAAATAAGAGATTCGATTTAGACCAATATTGATATGGTTTATCATATTATATGATTATTAAATGTTTGAATTTTTCTATTGTGAAAATTATTTGGTACGTGAACATGTGGATATTTATGGATTGGCCCTTGTGATATAAAAAGAAATATGTATGGCTATGCAGACAGGCCAGTGCGGCTCTGCCGCCGGCAGGTGATATTTAATAATAGCCGACGGGTTAACTGTTGATATATGAAAAATCATGTGAAATAGTCGGGCAGTGTATCCGCCGAAATAAGATTTGAACAACTAAGTGAACCGATCAGTGTATTGAATAATGATGACCGGTGATGGCCAGATGATACGTGTACTGAATAATGATGACCAGTGATGGTCAAATGATAATTATAATCGGTGATATGGAATGGCCAGGTGGTAAAGCCATGTGCAACATATAGTACATACAAAATGATATGAATGGCGACATACATGGGCCGGCAAGTGCGGCTCTGCCGCCGGCGACGGGCAATACAAATTAAGTGATAACCAATGAGTGAAATTAATGATACTTTGTATCTGGCCATGTGAAAGTTAATTAAAGTCCTTATTGTGAACAAATATTATATGGACTAACCTGATCCTGAAGTATGAGTTGATAAATTTTCTAAATTTATGGAGATATGAAAATTAATGAGATGGTACCGGAAGTTACCACATGATTAATGTGATGTCGGAAGTTACGACATAATGATTAAAAGATATCCTGGTATAGTGGTACTGGAAGCTACCACGTTATGATTACACAAACTGATGAAGTGGTACAAGAAGCTACCATTGGATGATTGAACAAATGAGAAAATTGTGTGAAAAGCTACCAGTTATGGGTGAGATCATAAAAAAATAAATTTCTCAATATATTATATGAGTCCAAGGGAATATATCAGATGACAAAATCACATTGAGATACGAGATCATACAGATATTACAATAAAGTGCTCCAGAAGAAGCACAAATGATAATGATTGTAGTCATGAACTACTATACACTGAGAAAAATCGAAATTGATATTATTATTACTGAGAAACAAGTACAAAATGTTCAGATGGTGGAAATATGGAAAAGAGGCAGTAAATACTCGATGAATACAAAATACGCAAAGATTACATAATAGAACCCATAAAAGAAGGGTGCGTCTCGAGAGTGTAAAACTCCGTAATTCTGCCACCCATGAATGATATCTGGGTTCATATTTGAATAATATCTAGGTTCATAATGTGAGATCTAAAGGATCAAAAGCTCTTTTTCGCTTGACCCCTTGTGTTTCCACAGAATCTTGAAATGTGATGCACTCTGAAGCTTTTTGATAAGTTCAGCAGACGTGTCAGCAGATTTGAATACTTCTCTCATTGAAGGAGATATAAAGGTTTGATATACTCCTATGTCTAAAAATCCAAGCAAACCATGAAAGAAGTTATTAAAGTTCAATAGACCTATGGGCTTGTTATGAAGTTTCAATTCTGCCCATAAAGCAATGGTGAACATTGTCATTACGGTTCCATACCCGCCTGGAAGAATGATAAAAGCATCGCTATTGTTCACCATATCCATCAATGAGTTAACATCATGCTTGTGGAATCCTTGACGACCTTTGTTGAAGCTCTACGAAAAGGTATGATACTTTTCACTTCTATCTCAAAACATTGTCCAGCCATTAAGAGACTATCATAGAAAGTATTGCTAGTCCCTCCATACAGCAAATTGATTTTTTGATTCCCCATCTCTTTGACTAACTGACTTACAATATCAATAGTTTGAGAAAAACTTACCAGTTTAGAACCACCAAGAACACATATGGTTTTGATCGGTTGAAGAAAATTATTACCTTGCGAAGACTCTGAAACATCCATCTATTTATTGATAAACTGAATTTTTCAAAACTTTGTGAGGCATATGATTATGATGAACGACTCGCTATTTAAATAGAAAGTTTTACAAAGCAATAAATAATTTTACTATTTTCTTCTGACAATTGCAACTGACAGATAAGGTGTTGGGTTTTAAATAAATCTTATCTGTCGGCAACTATAAGTTTTTCTAGAAAATTACAGTACAACATACTAAACTGTATTAGTATGATTTTTCGTACTAACAAGACCAGTTTTACAAACTTGATCTTTTGAAATAATATTTTCGAGACTATAACGTTCTTCTTCATTTTTGAACTGAATCCATAAAGACATAAGCTCACGATGCACGTATCCACTAGGATGTGTCTCAAGAATCTGTTGAATCGTTTGATCCAAAGACTCCTTACTCAATCCATCCTTTATAAACGTTATTTTATCTTCTCGATTTTTGGGCACGTACCCCACAGATATACATCGTGTGTCACAAGTCCATCGAGCGCATTTGAAGCATCCACCTAACCTTTTTGCTCTTCGTTTCTTTGCATAAGTACTTTTACCCATACCTGGCATATATTTATATGAATTTAGAAACTCTCCAGACAATCGAACTTGTGCTTCGATCAACCATCTAACATCATTTGGAATACCATTATTCATTAGCATCCTCAATCTTTCTAATCGAGATCGATAAATCCTTTTTATGATATTTTTCGGAAGAAAAGAATAATATTTACGGATATTTGAGAGTGCTAAATCCATTTGTAAATTCGGACCTTTGCTAAAGAAAATTGAATGAATTACCTGATAATTTATAGAAAAATATGATGCGTATGAGATACGACTCTGGACTTAAACAGTGTTCAAAAGTATGTGTGTCAGACAGCATGATACGATTCTGGATTTAAACAGTGGTTAAAGATATTATACCAGAGCCTACACTTAAAGTGCATTTATTGCCGCCGAAAGATGATGTGAAATGTTTGTGATAAACATGTCACAACGAATTATTGTGATCACTTTAAAAATGTTTACCGATATTATTGATGATGGTTTGCATGATGAACTTATTCTTTGTGATATGAGATGCTTGTTCCCGATTAGTGAAAAATATTACTAGCTAAATATTTGTGAATCGATATATGATCAATCTGAGTATGAAAGGGGTACGATATATATGGGCCCACTACCCCTCCATGTGTGCTTCTAGATATTATGGATCCACTAGATAGCCACATGTGTGTGATTCGTAATCTGAAGTTACGAGATGATTTGATCAAAGAATGTGTATATGACATGTCAACCTGAATTTACGAGATGGTTTGATCTAAGGATGACACAAGATGATTATGAAAGAATGAAAATAAGTGTCATATGAAAGTGATGAAGCTAGTAATATACTCACATGATATGATGAACTCTTGAAAGAAAAATGTGCACAATACAAATGATATGAGTTCAAAGTCCTCCAAATATATGTTGAAATCAAGAACAAAATAGAGACTATATGAACTCCCCTCAAGAAATTCAATACTAAAAATACAGATCAGGAATCTGTTAAGATGAGGGAGAGAATCAATGATTGAAATTTGGAAAATGATATATGCATCACAAGTGTGCAAATCATAAACTATATGATACTGATGATGATGAATTATATGAAATGATATGATAGTGGAATAATACGCTGGAAGC